CAATGTTCTCTTACAAAGGAAGAAAGTGAGATGGATATCAGGACAACCAGCAATCAGTCTGCCATAAAATATCACAAGAAATGTACAAGATCTATATGAGAGAACTTTAAAATGCTCCTAAGGGATGCAGACCAGACTTGAACAAATGGAAAGACAAACAGTGTTATTGGATGAGAAGACTCAACATCATAAAGATTCAGTTCTCCCTGAGTTAATTTATAACTTTAAACATGTTCCTAGTAAAAACATCACCAGGATTGTTTTTAACTAGAGCAATGATTCTAAAGTCCATATGGAAAAATAAACAAGTGAGAATAGCCAGGAAATTTTGGAAAAGGTGAATAATAAGGAAACTAGCCCCACTGGGAGTTAAAACATACAATAAACCTATAATAGTTAAAAGTGTGTGGTATAGAGCCATGATATAGAATAAAGTGTACAGGAAAAAATCCAAGTACATATGGAGATTTAGTATCAGTATTTGATAAAGGTGGTGTTTCAGTCAATGAGGAAAAGATAAACTATTAGATATCTGGCATTGAGACAACTTAATTAGACATCTGGAAACAAGTAAAATTAGATGTATACCTCACACCTTTTGTCAGAACAAATTCCAAATACATCAAAGACTTATGTTTATAAAATGAAAGCATAAAAGTACTAGAAGAAATCTTGGGAAAAATGCTCTTATAACTTTGAAATGGGTAAAGGCTTTCAAATTAAGACATAAAAGCCAAAAACATCAATTCATAAAACATCAAAATTAAACACCATGAAATAAAACATCAATTATTAGTACATAAAAATAATATTAAGGACAAACCACCATAACCAATGTCAAAATTCAAACAATAAACTGGGAAAAGTACTTGTGATTCCTATTGCACACACAGTTTGTTTCCTAATATAGAAAGAGCTCCTAAAAATCAATAAAAAGCAAATGCTACAAAATAAGAATGAGCAGCAGTTCACAGAAAAAAAAATACAGATCTCTTTTAAGTATATGAAAAGATGCTGAAACTTACAAAGTAACTTAAGAATATACAAGATACTATTTTCAACAGACTACCAAAGCTTAGTACTACACCATGTTGGCAAGAATGTGGGAAGCAGAAACTGTCATATATTGCTGATGGAAGTGTAAATTGTTCAATCCCTAAAGAGGGCAGTTTGGCAATGTCCATCAAAATTCACATTCTTGAGTGTCTGATTTAGAAATTTCTTTTCTAGGAAATGTGTATGGTTACTTTCACACCTGTGCAAAATGTCACATGTACAAGGTTATTCACAGCAGTGCTGATGATAATAGCAAATATTGGAAGCATCCTAAGTGTTCTCCAATAAATATGGTATAGTATGCAGCCATAAAGAATTAGGAGGCTCTTTAGTGCTAAGACAGAAAGACCTACTATATATATCAAGTGAAAAAGGTAAGGTTTCAAAGTATATATATTGAAAGCTCCCATTTAGTTAAAAGGGGAAAAATGAATATATATTCACATTTTCTTATTTATGTATAAAATATGACCAAGAGGATACATAAGGAATGAATAAAATGCAATTATCCATAGGGGAAAAAAAGGGATATCTCGGGAATGGATGTGAGAAGGAGAATTTTACTATATGCCCTTGGATACTTTTTGGTGTTTTGAACACATGAATGTATCACCTATTGAAAAAAACTGAATGAACCTATTAAAAAATTGTGTAAGTCAAAGTCAAAATGGCTCATATATAAGGAAAGGGATTTTGCTGGATTCCCCCCACCCTCTATTAAAAAAAGTGACTCCTTTAAAAAAAAGTCTCCATCCTCAAAAGTAGCTTGGGACTAATATCTAGGCACTTGTCCTTGTTTGCAAAGCTGTCAACAAGTTTGAGGAAAACCAACTGATATTGTCCCAAGCACCAATGGGAAGGCTCCAGAAGAGACCCCCCCACCCTGCCTGCCAGCCCACCTCTGGGTGGGTAAGGCTGGGGAACAACTGTTCCCAACCCTCCTCCCCAGGGAGGCCTAAAGGACCCCATTTGGAGAGGCAGAATTAAAAACCTACAGGTGGGAGAATCCTGAGGCAGGAATAAGAAGTAGAAATTCAGGGTTCTAGGGGTAACAAAACCATGAGGAAATCTTGTAGGGAATGTCGACCTACCTCTCCCTCCCCCACCTCCTCCCTCCCTCCTTCCCTCCCCCACCTTCTCCCTCCCTCCTTCTCTCCCCTCCCCTCCTTTCTCTCCCCTCCCCTCCTTTCTCTCCCCTCCCCTCCTTTCTCTCCCTCTTCCCCACTGCTTTTCTCCTGTCCCCAGCCCCCACAATCATGGCCCTGAGCTCTTCCATCTGCTGAAACCCACCACTTGAGAACTGCTTCCCACTGAGAGCCCACTGCCAGGCAAGTTTGGTCCCAGAGGTATAAACACTTTGCTTTTTAACAGAACAGAAAAACCCCAGCAGAATAAAGTTCTAGCAATGGCCTTTCTGGCTCCCCGAGGTCTTCTGAACCACACTTTCTTCTGTCACTAAAGGGCAGGAACATAAGTCTCTGACTCTTCCTGTATTTGGTGTTATGTGGAGAGTTAGAGTTTTCAAGAAACGCAGACAGTGGAGAGGGAATTGGAGGAGGTGACCACAGACCGGCTTTCAGGCTTCAGTGGCAGGACGGTGGGAAGAAGTATCTTGGCTGTGTCAGACGACAGCTGCAGAACACATTTGGCAGTGGTGGCCACACTGGGCCTTTGGCTGGGGCAGGGAGAAGCGAGGGCAGGCAGCAAAGGCACGGTGTGTGTCTGGGGCTGTCCCCACCTTCTCTCACCCCTCCCTGAGAGGAGTAGGCACCTGAGCAGAGAGGCCAGGCCTTGCCCCCTGAGTCAGAATGGGGGCGAGGTTCAGGCTGCTTGGAACGTTCTGAATCCATCCCATTCATACAAAATTAGAACAAGGCCTTCCTTTGGACATAAAGACTGGAAAAATGAGTGCTCAGAGGGGTGGCATTGGGGTATTTTATAAGGTTGGGCTTGGTGGCCAGCACCAGAAGAAGTCAACCCACATTGAGACAGAGGGCCGAGGAGTGCCGCACACAGAAGCCCTCACCACCTACGTCACTGGCCACCTTCTGGTTTCCACTCACTTATCCTTGCAAGAGTGGTAGCCGAGCGTGCTCTTCCCAACTCACTTGAATGTGGTTTGTAGACTGAGGTGCTGAAGAAGCATCATTGTTCCTTTCACAGCGAGTGTCACATTGTGCTTATTGCATGTGCCATGGGGTCAGCTGTGCTGCTTGTGAGGGCGTGCAGGGGTGCGTGACTCAGTGGGCACCAAAGAGTTTGCCTCCCGAGGACGCAGACATTTGCAAATGGGCAGACAGGACGGACACCTACTTCCCTCCAACTCAGTGTCTGCATGAAGGAAGTGGGTGCGTTGGCATTAAAGACCTTCTACTTTCATTAGTCCTTCAAACGAGCCTGCAAGCAGGGATGTGTCATCCCACTTGACAGATAAGGCCACCAACCAGCAAGGTGACTTTACCAGGGCCAAGGCACAACCAGCCTCCTGCAGCTCAGCCTGGTGTTCATGTCACTGCTGTCCCACCCACAGCTAGAGGTGAGCTTTGACCACACACAGCAACCAGGGTCAGGACAGGGGAGCCCTGGTCCTGGTGGCTCAGCTTGGTTGGTTGTTCTCACTGTTCTTTCTGTAGTCCTCGAGCATTCACTTAAAGCAGCACATTTTTTGTGTTCTTTTTTCTCAAGCAGTCCCAGCTGTGAGCGGAAGTGGGGTTACAGGTGCAATGCAGACAAGTCCTAAAGTGCTTCCTTTGCACCTAGACCTAGATCCCTGACAAGGGCTGAAGTTCAAGTCCCGATGCTAGCAGGCCTCTTCCACTCTCTGCATGCAGAGGGGTGGGCCTTCTCTACAAGACCCCCCCAATCCAGAGTGGCTGCTTAAGGGGGCCCAGGGTGGGGACCTCCATCCTGTCCAGGTTCTTCTATAGGGTCAAGTCTTGGGTCTCCAGGCATGGTGGGGGGAGGGGGGAATTCTTACCCAGCACCCTGTATTTTATATAGTAAAATGGACCCCAGGAGGCTGTGCTGGTTGAGGCCAGCATGCCTCTATAGCCCTCACTCACTGTGAAGGACCACGTGGGTTCTGGAGGTCCAGGTTATGGAGGCCCATGCACCCTCCTTCCTGCCCTCGCCCCCTGCCCAGGCCTGCTTGCCCCTGGAAGACTGATCTTGCAAACACATTGTGCTCATGCAGGCTACATTCATCGCTCTCCATGTGAATTTCCTAAACCCTTTTCCTGGCACTCTAGACTATTGAAGGTAGGTTTTAACATGCCTGTCTTGCCTCCCTGGGGCTCAATTCTCTGGTCTCTTCATTGCCTTTTGCATCTGCTGTGTCAGCCTTCTCTCCCCTCCTGCCTTCCCTCCTCGTGGTCTGGCCAACCCTTGCCCTCTATCTAAGCTGCTCTTGAGGGCACTGTTTCCTGGAGGCCTTCACTGCCTGCACTAGCTGGCCGTGGTCTTCCCTTCTGAAATGTAGCAGCTCACCTAGTGCCCTGTAAAGTAGCACCTGGCTCTTCGGTGGTTTTGTCCGATGCATTGATGTTCACATGTGACAGGCTGGTCCTCCAGCTGATCCTGTGGTTAATTCATGAAGGATGGGGATAGATACTTCTTTCTTTCATAGCAGGGTCTGATTAATATGAATTTCAGGGCATAGTAGGGCTTCCTTAAGCAGTTACTGACTTTATTAAATCTCAGCAGTCTTGACATATCCCTGGGGTTACAGAAGCTCTTCCCTCTTGCTAGGAGGATGGAGGCACACAGGAGACTGGCCCACTCAAGACAGAGCCTCTGGGCTGAGATTGGGTTCAGGCAGGTCAAGCATCCTTCAGGGCTTTCTTTTCTAGAGATTTCCCCAGGATATGCATGTCTCTCCAACTCAAGAAGACTGCACTGGGTGAGTGAAGCATTCATTTACCATGTGGTCCTGGCCTGTCTTACAGGGATTTGAAACTGGACAACATCCTTCTGGACGCAGAAGGTCATTGCAAGCTGGCCGACTTTGGGATGTGCAAGGAAGGGATTCTGAATGGAGTGACGACCACCACATTCTGCGGGACTCCTGACTACATAGCTCCCGAGGTAAGGCCGTGTGCAAAGGCCTCCTCCTCCTGGTGGCAGGGGTCCAACCCCATGCACTGGGGTCATCTGGTGGTGTTGGGAGAAGGCTCTGGAAAACCAGGATGGATTCCAAGGAGGAGGAAGAAAAGGGGAAGTAAAAGGTTTGCTGATTTCTCTATAAGGAAGCCTCAGTGATGGGGGAGATGGCGAGTGAACTGAGAGTAAGAGGCTCTTCCCCAAATCTGGGCAACTCCTCACTGAACGTCACTGCCCCATCCTAGTCCAGAACCACCAATAAATCTCGGACGGAGAGAATTTTGTTGACTTGTATCATTATTTTCATGTCTTAACAATCAGAATGAAGGAACATATTTGATAAAGGAAGCACGTGGCTTTATCAGCTATAATTTGCTTACAGTAAAACCAAGAATCACTTGCCCTTTCCAGTGGAGGGGCAGTTCTGCATCCGGAGCAGGAAGAGGAGAGTGGCTGGGCCTCCTTATACCTGAGATCAGATGTCATTGTGAGCCTCACCAGCGGATGCCTGTCGTGAAAGTTGTTTGGATGTTTTGCACATTGTGAAGTGCTTTTTGCCTTGAGTTCCCCTGATCAGTCTTGCCAAACTGAGAGACCTAGTGTGATATGATTTAGATTGAGGATGTGGCCTGTCCTAGCTACTTACTCAAAAAATACTTACTCAAAATGATCTTGATGGCTCTGAGGCTCGCAAGATGGGAAGGAAGTTCCAGTTCCCATTGAGTACTGCCCATGGTGGATGGGTATCAGTTAGCACATTCAGCCTCCGTTCCTTTCAGCGGGCATTGTTTGAGCACCTGCTAGACACAGAGCAACGTGGGGATAAAGAATTGACTGAGACACTGTTCCCTCTTCTAAAGGAACTTTTGGTCTAAAGGGAGTGACAGATGAGTAAACAGCCTATTAAGCAAAACAAATAGGTACATAAAACAAGTTGGTATCCTCAGGGATCAAGGAAAGCTGCTTGGAGCACCTGGCAGATGAATCAGTTGCAAACAGCCAGGTTTTCCTTTAGCAGAGAGGGTGAGAGGGCATTCCTCAAAGCAGCAGGGAGGATTGGGATGGGGGCAAGGTGGGAAAGAAGGTTCCGGTGTGCCCAGGCTCTGATCCTTTGAGGGCAGGGTCTGTGTTTCTAATCTGGGTACTCCCAGGATCCAGCACACAAATCAGGCTCTTAGTAATGGTTTGTCGAATGAGTAAACAAGAACGTGTGACATGCCAACAAGAGCAAAGGCCAAGAGATGAAACCATCTTGGCCTTTATCAGAAAAGTTAAAAAGTATAGTAGCTAGAACCTAGGAGTTTTAGTGCTCATAGAATGAATGAGATTAGAGTAAAAGAGAAAAGAATGTGGCCTTGATCCTGTGGGATTGGTGGACCCACTGAGGGTTCCAGTGGAGAAGGGGCCTAATCAGACCTGTCCGGGAAGAAGACAAGCAGCAGCAGTGTGGGACAAATGGGACACAGGAGACCCCACTGTAAGGAAGGTCTAGGAGTGAGGGTGGTGAGGAATAGGTAAATCCTGTTCAAAACCTTCATCTTCTACCAGATCTGAAGAGTAGCGATTCCAGTCTCTCTGCTAGTGTGCTCCCTTAACAAGAACACTGAGGAATTCAACCTTCAAGGAGAAATAAATGAAAGTGAGAGCTTTCAACAGGGCCCTGCTTTTCTCCTCTTCCTCGTTCGTTGTTTGTCATCAGGATACTTGGTTCCAGGCCCTCTGTGAGTCAGTGCCAGAGCCCAGTGTGCCATTCCGGGCCCAGCGCGAGACAAACATTGACTTTACAATGAACAAAACACCCTCAATCCCCATGAAGAGCAGCCCTTCGGGGACACTCAGAGAGAGCAGCTTCACTCTCTGATCGTGTCGAGGCGTAGACACGCTCTGACCGCTCCACCCTCTGGGCCCCCTGTGCAGTCACCGCTGTCCTGGAGGTGACAGAGGATGCCTGGTCTTACTGCAGGCAAACTACGGCTGATAAAGGTGTCGCTGCCTTCATCCAGGGTCTCGGGAAAGCTAAATGGAGTGACCCCTCTGAAGCACTTAGCATGGTGCCTGGTCCATACTCAGTGCAGCTGGATCGGCAGTGTCATTGTTGGGCCTTGTCACGGGGTGGGACAGTTCTGAGAATTGAGACTCAAGTCCAGACTTGACTACTAATGCTCCCATGTGACCCCGATAGAGTCACAAAATGTTTTTGTGCCTCGGGTTCCTCATCTTTCAAATGGGAGTCATAATTCCCGCCCTACCCACCTCATCGAGCTGTTTTGAGAATCTAATAAGATTAGAGTGTGGAAATGCATCAGAAAGTATAAACCTCTATTCAAATAGGAGAGGTTAGGAGTTGCCGGGCTAACCCTGAAACCAGAGACACCTTCTGAGGCATTGGCTCTGCCCTGGAGTGTCCCTTCCCACCATGTTCCCTTGGCAAACCCCCATGGCACCCTCTCCTTTGTCCACACCCAGTCCCTGCTCTCCAGGAGGTGGCTGCCAGCCGTGGGTGACACCTGGTGTCCTCAGACCCAGTGCCAGCCCTTCTCCTCCACTCCAGCTCTTACCCACTCAAGGGGGTGGCTGCCATGCTGCATGCCTCCCCAGGGTGTGCAAAGCCTTGCCTTCCCACCAGCTCCACTGTTGACAAGGTGATTAGGAAGCAGATAATTAGGGCCAAGCCTAAAAGGAATTTTACAAGAGATGCCACCTAAAACGAGAAGGCTCTGAAGGGGGCCTGGCACAGAGTGGGCATGGCCACTCTGTGGTTTCCCCAATGCCATCAGTCTGAGCACACACAGGCCACCTGGTGGCCACTGTTCCCCACCCCATGGAGAGAAGCACCCAGAGCACCCTGAGCCCAGGAGAGAAGGGAGCATGCCCAGTGAGATGTGCAGAGTGGACACACGGGCCAGCCAGTCACGACACGTCGGCTGTCTCCTGGGTGACAGAGTGGGCCGATCACAGTGGTGGGCTCAGGAGAATGCTAGACCCCTTCTCTCTGGCTTTATGGATGCATAGGGGAGACAGTGGGCCCTGAAAAAATAACAAAAAGGCAGTAGTATGTGGAAAGTGCTTGCAAATCTTAGGAACAGGCAGGCTTTTGGATTGGGTGCTGGATCTTTCAAGGTTGAGGGAGGAGCTGGCTTTGGCTTTGTATCATCACAGAACAGCATCACTGGCCCCTCAGGACAGTGGAGCCTGCAGCTCTGATCTTACGGATAGTGCACACAAAGCACTGTGCTAAGAGACCAAAGGTGCTAACCAAACAGGTTATCAGCCCTGACTAATTTAGAGTTGGCTGCATTCTTTCACATTCCTTTTCACTGTAAATTCAGAAGATTCCTAAACCGTGAGTGTTTTTACTCTTTTCAAATGCTTCTATCCAAGTCTTTCTATTTAGTCCCACGCAATTTGTAACCTCTAGAGGAATGTTTTCAGTAGACCACAGAAAAATCGGATTCTCAAATTAAGCCTCCTTTTCCCTGGCCACCTTGCAATCCGAGAACTAAATTGGAGCCTTGTCCCGGGCCTGAGAATTTACCTGCTCCAGGTGTCCTGCAAGCTGGAGTGACAAGACATGGACTTTGCCTGTTTTTTCAGGATCCTCAAAGGGTTCCCCCTTTTGAGACATGCTTTCCAGCCTTGCCTCTCCTCTGTACTCTTCACTTTTTGGAATGATTTATGGAATTGGAGAGGTCATCTCATCTGTCCTCCTGTTTCTGGGCAGGGCCATGTCTAATCCTGCTCTGATTGATAAGAAGAGAAAATAGTTGCGGAATGGGGACGTCACTTCACAATCCCTTCCTTAGCAATGGGGACAGCTCAGCATTTATTTTTCCTCTGAGCCAAACACACATCATTGACATGCTACATATTTATATACATATATATATAATATTTAAAAGCATGCTGCAAAACACAAAGCTCTATACAACTGAAAGGTGGTATTACATTCAAGTTTCTCCTGTTGGATCTGGTTCACACACACATATGATACATGAGAAAAAACTTAGATAGCGCTTTGTATTTTACAGTATGCATTTAAACTCTTCTACCTGAATTAATCTTGTGAGATGAAACTGAAAATCTGAGCCTCATTTGATAAGTGAGGAAGTCAATTGACTGGTTTGAGATCACCCAAAAATTTAGTACCAGACTTGGGATGGAATGTAAATATCCCGTTGGTCTTCCATCACCTACTGTAACACGGGGCCAGTGCTCCAGGAAAATTAGGAAGGGGCAGTTATTTGCTTTCAAAAGGCCCTGCAGCTTCTCAACTTTAAGTAGAATTCTTCTCTTGTGTTGAAATGATGATTCAGTCTATACCACTTCAGTCCTTACATACCACTCTACAGGAAGCTGATGGCGTGTCGCATTCAGCAGCATCGTGTCATACGTGCATGTCATCTAAGTGATTTTGATTCTACACATTTAGCCAGAGGGAAGAAAGCAAGGGACAAAGAGACAATAGATAAAGACAAGTGACCGTTGTCAAAGACAAAAAATGCACCAGGCAGTCAAGGAGATGCTATGGCAGTAGGGAGAATGTTCATATCGAGGATGGCCCCAAAGGCACGGAAGGGGGCCTGGGGCTTACAGAGGCAGGTGAAAGAGGGATTCATCAGTGAGTCACACGGGAGTCATGAGGAATGATGGAGAGATGGGCCTGTCTTGGAATATGCTGCAGAGTGATGGTCTTGCATTTGTGGGGCGAATGCTGAAGGGTGCAGAGACACATTAACTGCACTTTCCAGGAGCTCAGGGCTCATGTAAATCCAATATTGTCACCATTTAAGAAGGAATGAGATGCAGCATGCCCTGGACCGAGTGGGATGGGAGACCTGACCTTGCTGCACTCAAATGGCCATCTGCTCCCACTGGAGGGTGGACTGCTTGCTGATGTTGACTTTGGAGAAATGGCCCCAACACAGTGCCTCCCAAACTCGATTTTTACTAAATTTGCTAATTTAGAACCTTGCTGTATGTGACATGGGGCTCCACTCTATAAAGAAGCAAGTTGGAAATGAAGATGCAGGCCTTCCCTCGCCAGTCTGTGGCTTGGGTGTTGTCGGGGGTGGGAGTCACTGGTGGTCCCTGATGTTGCCTGTCTTTCATGAGCAGATCCTGCAGGAGCTGGAGTACGGCCCCTCCGTGGACTGGTGGGCTCTGGGGGTGCTGATGTACGAGATGATGGCCGGGCAGCCCCCCTTTGAGGCTGACAACGAGGACGACCTGTTTGAGTCCATCCTCCATGATGACGTCCTGTACCCCGTCTGGCTCAGCAAGGAGGCCGTCAGCATCTTGAAAGCCGTGAGTCTCTGCGCGCCTCCCGCGGCTCTGCTCCCGTGGGATCCTCCGCCCTGCACTCTCTCCCCCTTTCTGTCTCCCGCCTCGCTCACCGCTGAACGGGAGGAGCTAAGCACAGGTCCCGCTGGGCGTTCAGGCAGAGTTCAGAGGGCTGCCTCCAAGAGAATGGGTCTGGGGTGACTTGCTCTGCCTGTGGGAAAGGGACGGCGTGCCTGTGCTTGGGATGGGGCACCGTGTACATCGGTGTCCTCCAGCAGCATTTCAAAGGGAGCAGAACCAACCCAACTGCGCTGACATCACCTCTGCCTCTTCCACGCCTTCCTTGCATGCCACCTGTGGCCTGCCTTCATCGGGGCCTGTGATGGGGACTGGGGAGCACTGCCCACCTGCATCCATCACTGTGGCTGGACAGCCAACCTGGATAGGCCTGGACAAGACTTAGACATGTCATAGACTGTCCCTGCCCCTACAGATGATCCCTCATGTGTGGAAATGCATTCATACTTTCTCCACACAGCCATTTCTGCAATGTAACTCGCACTGTATCAGTAAGGGGTGCTGCCTACTCCTTTTGGACTCCGTGAAAGCTGACGTGTGGGGACTTTAACCCACCACTTTGCCCACGGTCACCCACTGGGCTGAGGCAGGACCAGGGTGAAGGCCCAGGAACCTTGACTTCCAGCCCTGCCTGCTTTCACCCATCAGATTACCACATTCGCAAAATTTGCCATATTCCAGGGCTTTCTGTACTGTTATTTGCTTTATGGGTTCTTTTAACTGACTCTGAGTAGTTACTTAATTATATGTGCTTTACAAAGAAATTTTATGTCATTATTATAGGTGAAAAATCAGTATGACTTGCCATAATTAATTAACGTAAGTCATTACATGAAAAGACTTAAGAGACCTAAGACCATTTAGTAGGTGTCTAGGGACATGTGCGCGGTATTTTTTAAAATGCGGAATCAGAATACACGCCGCTCTTCTCTGTAGATCTTTTGTCTTCCCTCCTTCCCTCTTTCCCTCACCTCCTTCCTTCTCTCCCTTCCTGATCTATTTCCCTTTCTTCCTCATGCTCCCTCCCTTCTCCCATTCATCGATTCATTGAAATACTATTTATTGAGTGCTTCTGACATGCCAGGCATGTGCTAGATGGTGAGTGAGTGTTGGTGCGTGTGACAGCCGTCGGTCACCCTGCCTTGTAGAGTTACCTGTCTCCATCCCCCCACCGTATCTACCCCAGCGGGAGCCACCACCGCCTCTCCCTTGGTGAAGTGCAGGGCCTCCTAATGGGAGAATCACAGTGATCCCAGTCTGACCATCTCACGCCCTGTGCCCTACTTAAACTCATCGAGGAGTACACACTGTGCTTAGATACACACCCATGTAGCCTCCAAGGTCCTATGTGGGGCCCTGTCTACCCCTCAGCTGTCCCCACTGGTCTGCTGGGCTCCAGCCACGCTGGCCAGAGTCCAGGTGCTAGAATGCACGTCCCTGGTGTTCCTTTTCCCTGACCACTCTCCGCCTTCCCCTTTTTGCCTGGGTACTTCTTGCTCCTCCTCTGGTGCCAGCCTGTATGTTGCTTCCCCAGGGAACAGCCAAGTTTCCTGCCCAAGAGGGGCGTCTCCCATTGCACCTTCAGAGCCTGCTGCGCTTCCCTCCTGCCCTTCATCACCACCTCGATTAATTGCTTCTCTGGCCTAATTATGTTTCTTCTTGGCCTCCCTTCCTTTTCTGCATGCCCCATGAGGGCAGGGAGCATGTCTTTTGTCACTCATCACAGCGATTGGTGCAGAGAAGAGACTAACGGATGTCCAGAGGAGAAAAGGGACATTAATAGACAAGCACTGGGCAGTTGCAAGGCCAGGCTCTCAGTACTCCACAGTGGCTCTTTTGGCCTGACTTTCCCCCCACATCTTCCGTTTTCCTTTCCTACAGGGAAGCAGAGCCTTTTTTAGAAAGGGCACATCACCCAGTGGGAAGGAATCTTGCTTGGGGGACTAGTTTATCCAATTTTTCAAATGTAATACTTTTTTGTCCAGTTTATATATTAAGGCTTTATATATTAAATTATTTGCTTGCTTATTTATACATATGCTTTTTTAAAAAGCACAAAGCATAAAATGGAATACAGTGAAAGGTCTCAGTCTTACTCTTGATCCCATCCGCCTGTTTCCTATCCCCTCTGCCTCTGTTTTTAGACTTTTTTATATACCATTCCAGAATTTTATTTAGATATATACAAGCAAATACAAAGATAAATTCTTATTTCTTCACCTTTTTCCTACAAATGTTAGGATGCTGAGCATATCTTGCTTTCTCCACTTGGTGATATATCTCAACACGTTTATGCATTGGTTCTGCTTCTTGCACTTTGGAGCTACAACTCTGAACCTCTACAGAGGACTCTTCTGGGCAATTGCCCTGGGGTAGACACGGGAACCTTTGCCTTCTCTAATTCCCAGAGCCCCATCTTGTCCCAAGTCACCTGAATAGCTGAGGGAAAACCTCCAGCACCCGAGGCGGCCAGAACACCATGCCCAGCAGAGCTGGCCACCGCCCCAGGCCCTGACACCAGCCCAGCACACCTCCCTGTGAGTTCTCCGCCACCACCCCAGCTGAACCCTTCCATTCTGGGGGACCTAGAGTAGTGCTTCTCAACTAGGGCCAAGTTTGCCCCTGCCACCAGGCATTCAGCAAAGTCTGGAGGCATTTTCGGTTGTCACAAGTGGGAGAGTGTTGCTGCTAGCACATAGTGGGTAGAGGTCAGGGGTGTTGCTAAACAGCCTACAATGCACAAGACAAGCCCCCATGACAAAGAAGTATTCAGTCCAAATGTTAATAGCACCAAGGTTGAAAACTTTGAACTACAGAGACTCAGAAGTTCGAGGTTATGCCTATGTTAACTAGCCAGTGAGGGCAAAGTGAGAAGAGCCTCTGGTTCCGAGGTAGCTTCCTAAGATGTTCAGACCTCTGTGTTTACCTCTGGCCCTGCGACTTCCCCTCCAGAAAGAGTGAGGACAGGATAGGTTGAGGAAGTTAGGAGTCTACTACTCATCTGGACTTGAAACACTTCATTTCTTTACATTGTCACTTGATTCTAAGGCTAGGCCAGGATGCCCATGACTCTGGCCACTGAGCCATGTCTATGAGGGCTGCTGCCTATGTGAAGGTGGAACAGAACTCTAGGGAAGACCATTTATGTCATAGCATTATGCAATTATGCAGTATACAACCTATGCAACAGGACGTGGCCATCCTGCTGCCTCCCTTCCTCAGCACTGTGCCCTGAAGCCCAGCCTTTAGCCCCCTACTCAGTCATGACGGTTTACTGAGTGTACAGTGGGAGCCAGGTGCTGGGCAGATAGGACTGATTCCCAAATCACACAGCTCACCAAGGGAAAGAGATGTTTAGATAAATGACAATTTAAATAGAAAAGAAACATGGGGTCCAAGATATCAAAAGAGGATGGAATCTGGGGAGGCTTCACAGAGGAGGCAGCATTTCGCCTGATTCCTAGAGAATGTCTAGGGACTGGAGAGGGGCGTTCAACCAGAGGGAATAAAGTGTGCAAAAGGCCAGCAAGGTAGACAGGGTTCAGTCTGAGAGGTTTCTGTGTGCCAGACTAAGGAATGTGGACTTTACGGTGTGGGCCACCGGAGATTTTGAAGCAGGCTCACCTTGCTGACTTGTAGGTTGGATTAGGAAAGTGAAATGCTGTGGGACCATTCCTCACTCCCATCTACTCTCCACATTCTCTTGTCTGTGGCTCTCCCAGGCCAGTAGCTTTTAACCTGGGCCCATGTGCTTTGGTTTCGAGGCCCCAGGCAAGAGACAGTAGGAGACTCGCCCTGTCCCAGAAAATCTGCCTTGTGGATGAAGCTTGAAGTTCTACCATTACAAATTTATTCCTTTGGGTTGTAGTTTGTCTTCTCAGGTTCCTTTCTAAAATATATATACTCAACCTTCACACTGCGAAACATAACCCTTTGTCTCTCACACACATGCACGCCTTTGTTTTGGGTGGCTGTCAGCACCATTCCCACCTACTGGCACTTTTGTTCAGGGTGATATTGGTATACATCTGCTCAATTAAATGAATATTTACCATCAGGACTGACTCATTTAATCAGAATAATAAGTTCACCTGGGTGTGTGGGGATCACAAGACACCAACCAAAATATGACTAGCACCAAAGAAAATATCAACACACCGATGTGGTATTTTTACATATGAGCATTGAAAAACAATAAGCCTTTTTTTTTTTTAACTTTTGACTAACATAAGCATTTTGCGTAGAGATTCCAAATTCAAATATAGAAAAAGTGGAGAAAGGCCAGTTCAGGAAAAACAAAGCAGCTGGAGGTACGTCTGCTGATTTACCTTCACGTGCGTGCCCTGCCCTCTTTCCCTACCTTGTCCAGAAGGACTGTTTCCCTCTCACTGTAAATGAGCTTATCAGACCTCAGTCTCCCTGATGAGAAGACTTGAGAGGCTGAGGGGATCAGAGAGTTAGTAAGAGCCTAGGTTTCTAATCCCAGCTGGGTGCCTTACTAGCTGTGTGGCCTTGGCCAAAGTAATTCACCTTTCTGTGCTTCGAGTATCTCACTTATAAAATAGAGATAATAAGAGTTCCTGGCAGGGTTGTGTGAGGATGAGATGAGTTAATATGCATGCTACATTCAGGATGGTGACTGGCACATGGTAAATTCTGTGTCAGAGTTAAAGAAAACCCAAGGGGTGAGGTCCCTGAAGGTACAGAGAACAGACTTGGGAGGTGACGCTGAAGACGTTGCCCTTGCCAACATCCATCTTTCCCTCACAACCTGTGCCAGCCAGGCTGTTGTCACTAACCCTGACTCGTGTCCTCGTCCCTGCAGTTCATGACGAAGAACCCTCACAAGCGCCTGGGCTGTGTGGCAGCGCAGAACGGCGAGGACGCCATCAAGCAGCACCCCTTCTTCAAAGAGATCGACTGGGTGCTCCTGGAGCAGAAGAAGATCAAGCCACCCTTCAAGCCACGAATTGTAAGTCGGGCCCCACACACGTTCCCCACCGCGGGTCGGGCCTGGGCACGTGTGGCAGGCTGCATGTGCCCAGGGAGAGTGGTCTGGGGGCATGTTTTACAGCCTAAAAGACAAAGGCGGGAGGTGACCAAGACTCTCCCTGAGAGAGAGTCTCTTAGGCCCTAAGCATTTACAGCCACACATGCGTAACCTGCAGCAGGGACCAAGATTATGACTTGTATGGGCCACAGAGAAAGCCTTTGGTTTTAATAGAGATTTATTTATTTTAATGGAAAATTACAAACGATACAAGTTTGCCATGTGTGGTAGAGAATAAGGTTTCTTTATCAATAACTGGGTTTTTCTAAATGACCCAATTTAAAGGAAAATAGTATCGAAATAATAGTTGTGGTCATTACGTGGAACTAGCACGGAGCGTGAGGGTGGGACTCGGTGACTGGCGGCTGGGGAAGCCGGCTCTGGTGGCAGCCTCTGGGAGGCCTGCTCCGGGACACCTCGCTTCCGTGGCCCTCTCGGAGGGCTGTCCGTCTCCGCCCCACTCTCCCCTCTGCCTTCCAGGTTCTTGGGCCTGTTGTGATGCCACTGGAGGGAGGGCATTATTAGGTCATTACGTATGAAATGTCCGATTTCAAATCAGAAGTGTAGTTTATTGTATCTCAAACAGGAAGCAATACGATCAAAGTACACGCCTAAACTATTGACACAGCTTTGCCATCTTAACAGTAACTTGCTTATGCCAGCAGCAAAGAAGCCGAGAGAGTGAATAGTGATGAAATCGCCAAAGGCATTTTCCACAGCTTGTTGAGGATTGAATATTTTTCCTTGCAAGAAGTGGTCCATAGCCTAGAAGGAGTGGTAGCCAGTTGGTGCAAGGTCGGGTGAATATGGTGGATGACAGAGAATGTCCAAGGCCAGCTGCTGTAGTTTGAGCAGTGTTGTTTGTGCAACATGGGATCAAGCCTTGTCTTGCAAGAGGATTGGCCTGTCTCTGTTGACCAGTCATGGCCACTTAGTCATAAGCATCCTTATCATTTCATCCAATTGGGTGCAGTAGACATCCACTGTAATTGACTGACCTGGTTTCATGAACCTGTAGTGGATACTACCAGCGCTGGACCACCAAACAGACACTATGAGCTTTTTTTGATGACTATTCGGTTTTGGACTGTGTTTCAGCACTTCGTCTTTATCCAACCATTGTGCTGAATATTTGCAATTGACCAAAAGGTCCATTTTTCATCACATGTAACAATACAGTATAGAAACGGTTTGCCTTTATGTTGTGGCAACAAAGAAAGGCAAGCTTCAAGACAACTCTGCTGACGCTCATTTAGTTCATGGGGAACCCATCTATCCAGCTCCTTTACCTTACTAATTTGTTTCAAATGGTCCAATATTGTTGCAATAGTAACATCAAACCTTGCTGCTAATTCATGCATAGGTTGAGATGGATTCACTTCCACTACAGCTTTCAGCTCATCATTATCCACTTTGGTCTCAGGTCATCCACATGGCTCATTTTCAAGATTAAAATCACCAAAATGGAACTTCCCAAACCATCGATGTACTATGTGTTCATTAGCCACATCCTTCTAAAACACCTCATTGATATTTCATGCTGTCTGCATTGCATTCATTCCATGATGGAACTCATATTTGAAAATAATGAATTTTTGACTTATCTATTGTATCACAAAAATTGTGCTTAAAAAATTTTTGAAAGATAAATCAAAAGCCAGAATGTATGTTTGAAAGACTGAGCATGTACCTTCACAATAAACATAAAACAAGAAGTGTCAAAGTGAAATGTCAAAGATATCAACTATCAAACTTAGTGCTTAAGGAAATCAGACATTTCATACTTAATAACCTAACGTAAAGGGTATTTGAAGCTCAGAGCCTGAAAAGAGGAATAGAACTGAAATCTGGGATTGATAGAACAAAGACCATGTCCTGGCGGTGGCCTTCTGCTGGAGTGGGGAGAAGGTCATGGTGTACTCCCTAAAGTTAGAGTGTGTATGTTTATCTTAATTCTGTTGCTTTGTAACCCAAGGAGGCAATCTGTTATTCAGCCTGAAAATCAGGGTAGCCATCTGGCAGGCTTATGGGGAGTGGAAGGGGACTGTGTAATACAAGAGTTGACTGGGCAGGAGCCGCAGGGCTGTGGGGCTGGGATCCCAGGCAGGGAACACCTGAGATCATCTGGCCAGCTGTGGTCATTGGCATTCTGTCAGATGAGCCCTCTCTCCCCACCTCCAAGTACAGAAAAGACCCTCCTGTGCTTTGTAAACCATCAGAGGAGAATTCCATTCTATTCGGAAAGGTTTTCTGGGGAGCCATTATGGACAACAAGGGAATTCTTAGGAATGTTCCACAGAGGGCTTGGGGAGAGCAGCTCTCAGTGGGCAGGTGTGGTCCAGACCTCAGCCACACTTGAGCAGGTGGGGTTGACTGTCTCTGGACGCTAGTCCTGTCTCCGTTCCTCATGTGCTTCCTCCTTTGGTCTTCATGGTTTTCACTAGACAGCACACACCCTGGGACAGGTTAGATTTATGTTCACCTTCTTTCTTTGTCAGCGTCACCTCCACTCCAGCCCACCCCCACCACAGCTCCAGGCCACCATGCTGAGCCCATGCTGTGGGTTTGGTAGATTGGAGGGTTTGGGGCCCAAGCTCCTCAGGCCATTGTCCCCTGCTGCCCACCCACAGGGATCCCTGCATGTATGTGCCAGGCTGCCCAATGGCCGAGGGTCTCTGGCCTTTTGGGACAGGATTAGCTGTGCCCCCAGCAAAATGGGAGAGTTGGGATGCCAGAAGCCTAGCAGAAGGGGAAGAGAAACTACAGGCTCTGATGTGAGGGTGAATTTTAATTTCTGTTTAATCTAAGTTCATCAACCCAAAAAAAAAAAAATGAGAAGTAGGTCCAAGTAGAGAATCCAGGCCCAATGAACAGAAACCAGGAATTCCTCAGTGGGGCTTCCAACCTTTAGTGTGAGACTTTGAGCCAAACGGAAGTGCAGACCTTCTGAGAGGAGTCCCGGTTTGAGCAGTACCTCCATGGGCTTCCCCACAGAGTGTGGGAAGAATGAGGAAGGGCCTCAGAGAATAGGCATGAGGTGAGCAGGTGAGGCCCTGAGGGATGGGGAAGAACTTGGACACAGGAGAGAGGAAAAGAGGGAAGAATGAATGGGGAGGGAGGCCGGCCAGCAGCAACCAACTCCACTAACATGCAGGCTTCACCTCAGCCCAGGCAGACGGGGGGGCCCCCGTAATGCTGTCCCTGGCAGGAGTGAAGGTGCTCCTGTGGGCAGGGGTGCAAGATGGCCCTGAGAACCAGCAGGAGGAAGTACATCCCTGGGTCGGGGGTCAGTCCACCAGGGGGTCAGGTGGGACCCCACTGCTACCTGGACACCTGAAACACAAGGCATTCATGCTTTCCTTCCTTGGCCTCTGGAGAGGCCCTCACCTGGGACCAGAGGCCAGGACCCTGCTCATGTCCATTGCCAGGGGCTCAAGTAGGCTCTCAGGAACAAAGAGAGAGGACGGGGCCACCCAGGAGCTCCCACCAATTTCAAAACTGTCCTAGTCAGATTTCCTATAGACTGACTTCATCATGACCTTGGAAATCATCTCCTGTGCATGTTCCTACTCTCCCCACCTCCCCGGACCTTCAGAATTAACCTCGATGCTGTGGGGTGGTCAGGGGAGAGGGCATTCATTAGGTTGGTTTGAATTCAGTTGGGAGGAGAAAATTAGAACATCTGGAAAAAGGAAAGATAAAATGGAAAACTGACATTGTGCAAGAGGTGTTTCTGGTCCCACTCTGAGCTGAGTAATGTTAATCCTTAGCACGTTCTCAGCTATAGGTCTTTAATGACTTATTCAAGTTATTTAAATGTCTGATCACATTTACATCTGTGGGACTAGAGATTTTTCTCAGGAAAAATATCAAAATTGGAAAAGAAAAGAATATTCCACATGTGGTTAGCAGATTGGAAAAGTGTCCCAAATCTGTCCCTATGCTGAAAGCTGTTTTCTGAAAAATGTCAGTGGCACCAGTCTGAGTCATCTGTGGGCTTATGTGTAGCAGAAATGTATTTGAAGTTGGATTAAAGCCCACTGCAGTGATGAACATACTGTATTTCTCATGTCAGATAGCCTTGCAAACTAATGGGAAGCCAGGCATGGTAGCTTATGCCTGTAGTCCCAGCTACTTGGGAGGCTCAGGCAGGAGGATCGCTTGAGCCCAGGAGTTAGAGACCAACCTGGGCAACATAGTGAGACCCTGTCTCTAAAGAAAAAGAAAAAAATTAGCTGGGCATGGTGTCACACACCTGTAGTCCTGGCTACTTGGGTGGCTAAGGCAGGAGATTGCTCGAGCCCAGGAGTTCAAGGCTATGGCGAGCTATGATCACACCACTGCACTCCAGCCTGGGTGACAGAGCAAGACTCTGTCTCCAAAAATAAAATAAAACAAAACACTAATGGGAAAACTCACCCCTCTCTAACCAATTCAGGGTTAACTCCAGGGATGTGGGTGCCTGCATAGCTCAGATAACAGCAGTGAGGACAGCTCTACTATCTGTAAGCAGAGTCAGCTTGACGATAGGCAAAATAGATTGTCACCCATAGGAGATCATTAGAGAGACACTGGGAAGCAAAGGGCTCCATCACAAGACAGGCAAGGTGTTCCTTGGGATTAAGGTGTCAATGCTTTGAGGATGTATCAGATGCCTTCCTAGGACAGCTGGGAAAGAAAGGGCTTAGATAGGCAGGAGGAGGAGGGAAAGCTGATTTGGAGCCCAACACTGAGAAGCAGCAGCCAGGATAGTGGGTCACAAGCAGCCAAGGATGGTGTGAGGTTCTTGGATCCTGTATCTTAGTGACAGACTCTGAGTCAAGGGACAAACACTGTGAGAAGGGAAAGGATCAAATCTATGAGCAAACATCATCAGCTTTACGATTTGGTGGTGGCTTCAAGGAGATATTGGGCTTGTGTTT